TGGCCTTTTTTTTTTTGGGGGGGGGGGGGGGTAGGGTTTAGGGTTTAGGGTTTAGGGTTTAGGGTTTAGGGTTTAGGGTTTAGGGTTTAGGGTCAGGGTTTCGGGTTTTCTGTGTGTGTGTGTGTGGCGTCTCAGGAATTCGCGGTTCAGGGGTTGCGGGTCGAGCATTGCAGGATTCGGGGTTCTGGAGTTTAGGGTCGGCTTAGTGGTTTGGGGTTTAGGGCCTTGAGGGTGGTCTGATGTTAGGGGTTTAGAGTCTAGTTTTTAGGGGTTAGGGCTTCGTTTAGGGGCTTGAGGGTGGTCTGGGTTTAGGGGTTTAGAGTCTAGTTTTTAGGGGTTAGGGCTTCGTTGAGGTTTAGGACTTTAGGAGGTGAAGTCCTGGGGCTGACTAGGGTTCAGAAGTTAGAGTTTTCTTGGGTGGTCACCCTAAACCCTAAACCCTAAACCCTAAACCCTAAACCCTAAACCCTAAACCCTAAACCCTAAACCCTAAACCCTAAACCCTAAACCCTAAACCCGAAACCCTAAACCCTAAACCCTAAACCCGCAAACCCCCGAGCCCCCAAACCCAAAAACCCCAAAGCCCCTAAGCCCTACCAGGGGTGCCAAGGATGGCGGGGCTGTTAGGTTCTAGGGTTTAGGGTTTAGGGTTTAGGGTTTAGTGTCTGCGGAGCCCCTTAATACGGGCCCTTAAATGAGGACGTACCCTAAAAAACCTACAGGCCCATACTGCAGCACCGTTTAACGAAGCAAAGGTACCATATTAGGGGACCATGCAACGTCTCTCAACCCCTAAACCCCCAACCCCTAAACCCTAAACCCTAAACCCTAAACCCTAAACCCTAAACCCTCAACCCTCAACCCTCAACCCTCAACCCTAAACCCCAAACCCTAAACCCTAAACCCTAAACCCAAGCCCTAAACCCAAATGAAAACAGTTCAACCCTTGGACCCGGGTCCTTGGGAGATTGCGGCTTTTTTTGGGGGGCAGCAGGTTCAGGGTTCTAGGGATTTTCAGGTGCACTGCGTGTGAGTGTAAGGGGTTTAGGGATTTAGGTGTGGAGGGGTTTATCCACCATCTCACATGACGGTGAAGCACCCCTTTTTTGGAGCAGCTCGACACGATGTTCGGCTCCCTTGAACATGCCTACAGCAACATCACCAAACTAGATTTGCTGTGTCAAAGGACAAATTGCAAACAGAGCGCTGTTTCACACGAGCTCCTGGACTGGTGTTTGCATGGCTTCGTTCTCAGTGCCCGAGCAAACGTCTAGGACACTTATGGGGTTTAGGTTTTAGGGTTCGAGGTTTAGGGTTTAGGGTTTAGGGTTTAGGGTTTAGGGTTTAGGGTTTAGGGTTCAGGGGATTTGGACGGTTTAAGGTCTGCACGCGGTCTATTCAGCGATGCCGTAGAAGCCAGACGTCACTTCTTGTCTGTCTTGGGTAGTAGTATCTGGGTACCCTGTGGCCTTTGTGGTTTAGGGTTTAGGGATTGTTCCTAGGTTCTCTGCTAAAGAAACCAACCCCAAAAGGGTACCCTTATTACAGTAGGTTACTGGTCTACCAAGCGGGGTATCATGCTTGGTCGGGCGTGGGCCGGTGTTGGAGGTACGTTTAGAAAACGTTCAGAGCAATTTTCGTAGTTTGGGCAAAACCCTAAACCTAAACCCTAAACCCTAAACCCAAAACCCTAAACCCTAAACCCTAAACCCTAGACCCTAGACCCTAAACCCTAAACCCTAAACCCTAAACCCGGAACCATCAAGTAGGATGAGCAGATGATTAGGCCCTGCTGCCCAAGGGTCCTGAAGCGCGAAGTTGGCCTGGCCACGCAGCAGCTGCTGCAGCACGTGGAAGGCATGGAGCTGAGTCCTCCAACTGTCCTTCTCAAACCCTCAGGCCTACGCCCTACGCCCTAGCCCTAAACCCTAAACGCTAAAGCCCTAAACCCTAAAGCCCTAAACCCTAAACCCTGAAGCCCTAAACCCTAAAGCCCTAAACCCTAAATCCTAAAGCTTTAAACCCGAAACCCCTAAACCCTATATCCAGGGCACTCAGTGAGGGACAGCAGCCCTAGGCAGTTGATCAAAACCCAAATGCCAAGCCCTAAACCGCCAATCCCAAAACCCCCCCCCCCCCACCCCCCCGGGTTTAGGGTTTAGGGTTTCGGGTTTAGGGTTTAGGGTGTAGGGTGTAGGGTTCAGAACCCTCAGCCGTGAACCCCAAGACCCTCAACCCTCAAGAGGGTTTAGGGTTGAGGGGTTCAGGGTTCAAGGATTCAGGGGAGTGTCAGAACCCTCAGCCCTAAAAGCCCTCATCATAGTGGCCTACGTGTTCGTCGTGCAGATCCTTTAGGCTTTCGACGGTGCAGGTTGAGTTGTGTGAGGAGTCAAGGGAGAACATGAGAAGCGGTTCTCTGCAATGTAACACGATTCTGTCAGGATGGATTTTGAGGGCTCAGCTCTTCTGGACGATGTGGCATGCTGTTCGCAGGCATTTG